AATGCAAAAACTAAGATCGAAATTTACTTGTGGGCGTTATACGTCGGATATAAAAATGATAGATTTAAAAATTAGGAATGAGCATTAAAAAAATTAGATTTCTATATGTATTTAAATGTTGTTTATTTAAAGGAAATGAGTTTAAAAATTTAATGGCTTAAAATTTTCATTCTGGGATAACATGAAAAGTTTGTCATCTTCGTCTTCCGTTATATCACCAGGCACAACATCGAATTTTCTTTCGTCTTCACAATCATTGTTACTCTGATCCACAAATAAATAAGCATCATCATCCGTTCTATCATTCACCAACGCCAAACAATCTTGCTGCAACACGATCTCCATTTTCTTTCGCAAAATGAATGGCTTTCGATTTGAATTCAGCACTGTATTTGTTTCTTTTCGCGGGAGCCATATTTACTGCTAAAAAGGAACACTAGATCAACTGTATTTCAACTAAAGCAAATGCGATTTACTAAAGTCTTCGATTTTCACTTCAAAATCACGGTTTCAAATGACTACAGAAAGAGAAAACATCAAACTCCACGAATTCCTTCAGGTTGGAAGTGCATTCTTACTCCAAATTCTATCCTCCTCTTCTCGAAACCCTGCAATAGCATTCTTTTGGACGTCTGTAATGAATACAATTCACCCTCTTTTGCAGGAATATTTACTCCCTCAAGCATTTAACCCACACATTGTTATTCTTCTCGCTTGTCAATTTGGTATACCATTATTCGAAAGGCTAGGACAAATCTTCGAATAAGTGACCTCAAAAGATAAGAGCATTTACACAGGTATCTTTGAGGTTTCTTTGTGAAGAATTGGGTGCGCATTATATGGCGAATATATCTAAAAATTTAAAAAAAATGTATTTTGAAATTATAAATGTGCGTTATACACCGGTGCGCGTTATACTCCGGAAAATACGATAACTACACTCATGTCCATAAATTAAGGATAATGCAAAAGCAGGCAAAGGAAGAGTCAGAAGCAAAACAAATTTGACTTATTTGTAAAGCTTATTTATTAAACAAAAGGTAAAGAGCAAAAAAGATGCTATATGTTTGATATTATTAAACAAATTAGCGATTTTTTTCTCCCTGGAGCAAATTACAAAAAAACCAATATTACATGGTTGGTATGATTGTTAATACATTGTATGTCTCCCAGACGATGCAATGCAGTCCATACAACGCCTAGGCATGCTGAGTATCAAATTATCGATCTGAATTACATCACTCAAAAAGCAATGCTCTCCGAAGTTCCGGTAGACATGTAGGAGGAGGTTGACGGGCTGCAACTCGTCGGCCAAGTATGTCCCACACGTGCTCTACTGGATTCAAGTCCGGTGAGAATGCTGGCCAGTCCATACGGGTGATATCTTTCGATTCAAGGCATTCGCTTACGATGTTTGCACGGTGAGGACGGGCGTTGTCATCCATAAACACAAATTGTGCGCCCACGGCGCCCCGAAACAAACGAACATGTTGTTCCAGAATGACGTCCCAGTAGGTATAATAGGCCGGTTTGGGAGCACAGGGAGCGGGGAGCCGATGGGCGGAACCTCCTGAGGCGCAGAGGGGGGAGGGAATTGAGCACGCGAGGTTGCTACGTCATCAACCACGTGGCTCAAGCACGGACACACTGCTTCTTGTTCGTGACGTCATCACGCATTATCACCTCGGATTATCTTGCTACGTCAGTTGCATGATTCGTCCTGTTTATGTTTTTCATGTCCGCGCTTATCTGTTGACGCAAATCCGCAACGTGATTGCAACATGTTAGAATTTCTAGAACATTCTATTTAGTTCAGCAACGACCGCTAGAGGGCAGTAGTCTTACCCATAGCGCTTTCTGATTGGTTTTCGTGGATCCTGACCAAAGCCGATATAAAGACGTGCTGGACCCTTTCATATCATTTCTGTTCGTGCTGTATGCTTCGCTCGTGCTTTCGCTCTTCCTGTTTGAACCAAGACGTGTTATTCGAGGTACGTATTTTATCATATATCTTTTTCGTGTTCGTATATTCGATTCGATATTTAATTTGAGTACGAAAATCTGCATTTGTTGCATTGCCTTTATAGTTTGAATTTATATTTTTCAGATGAATTTGGAACAACAGTTCGAGAACGTGGATGCACTGAAGATTTCAGATTCTGAACAATACCATGAAAAGCCCAAAGAAACACCCATCTAGCAGAACGCTAATGGCAAACGAAAAATAGACGAAGATAATACATCTAAGAAGAAAGTAAGTATTACGAAAAGAGTTTATTCTTGCTATAACGCAGACTTATTATTCATTTACCAAAAGACTCATAATTATTTTTTCTCTTTTAGCGCAATGGACGGTTTGCTGAAGACACAATCCCAGAGGAGCTGACACACATTGGCAACAATGTCTTTGTGGGGCCTACTCTTTTCAGCGGAAAGATCACCATGCACATCAGGCAATACAGCAAGTACGGGAGTGCATACTATCCAACTCGTAACGGTGTGAATTTAGAGCCTTCGTATTTGAACACCTTCTCTCAACACAGCCCACAAGAGGTGTTCACAATGAATCTGCAACTACCTAAGAATTTTAGTGTGGAATAGGGTGTTTACCACATCACGTTAAAGCAACTAACAGTAAAAGGAGTGGAGAAAAGCAATATTAGACTTACAATCGCCCAGTGGGAAGAATTATCCACAAATTACAGTCGTATCAGTACCATCGTCACTAACCTCGTATATCAATGTATGGACTTTTGTGAAGCCTACGAAAGTGTATCCGAGGAACCTATTAACGAGGAAAAGCTTCCAGAATCCTTCGACATTTCTTTGGGAACTACATGCCTCCAAACCATTCTGAAGACATCACTAGAACAGCTGATCCAAGAACACGGAGATTTGAAGTATCCTAAACTCATAGACTGTGAAGAGCTCGCTATTCATAAAACAGAAACTATCAACTCCTTGGCTCTGAAATTAAACTCTGTTGACATAGCCAGACAATTTTATGGAAATGTATGGACTGAAGAGCCTTATTTACTTCTGATTAAACCAGCACATTATATCACAAAAGACTTTTTAAAATCTGTTTGTCTCAAAGATGTACTTGATGAAGTGAAAGAAACATTTTGTCCTACCAATTTGGAAAATTATGGTGCTTATGGTATTGAATATTATGAATGTTTAAAAAGTAAATAAAATTATTTGTTTATAATGGTCTCTTTACTGTCTCATAATTAAGTTAAAAATAAATATATATAAAATTAAGGGAACACTATAAATACTCATACACATTTGCTTTTCGTTCATAAGAAGGATTGTTGTAGAAATAAGAGGTTGCATATTTTAAAAGAAACTATAAATTATAAATAAACTATAAATTTAGAGAAAACTATAAATGAGCGTTCACATTTCTATTAGTAAAAATCACTGCTGTACATACCATGAATCTGACTCAGATGTATCGCGATCCAGCCCTTCCCGCCAGTTTTGGTGGAGTGAGTGCTTTGCATCGTGCTTTAAAAGGCAAAGAAAGTCACAAAACGATCAAGAAATGGCTTACCAGCAAAGAGTCATATACTTTGCACAAGCCTACCCAGCGACATTTTCGTCGCAATCGCGTCCTCGTCAGAGGCATCGACGTTCAGTTTCAATCTGATTTGGCAGATATGCAGTCTCTTGCCAAACACAACGACGGATATAAGCATTTGCTAACATGTATTGATGTGTTTTCCAAATATGCTTGGGCTATTCCACTCAAAGATAAAACAGGTCAGAGTGTCAAATCAGCTCTTGAACATATTTTTAGCGAAAGAAAACCACATGTGCTACAAACCGATAAAGGTAAAGAATATAAGAATAAAATCGTTCAAAATTTTCTTAAAAAAGAAAAAGTTCGCTTTTTCACAATTGAGAACAGTACAGTGAAGGCAAGCATCATTGAACGATTGCATAAGACCCTCAAAAGCAAAATGTCGAAGTACTTCAGTGAAATGAACACATATCGTTACGTTTATGTAATAGATAAATTAATTCACAGTTATAATCACACCTGGCATCGCTCTATTCAAATGGAACCAGTGAATGTCAATAAACACAATGAGAGACAAGTCTGGAATCAATTATATAAAGACCTACCTGAACCTCAACCTAAGTTCAAAATGGGAGATACAGTGCGGGTTAGCAAATTAAAAATGATTTTTGAAAAAGGCTATGAAAGTAACTGGACGAGAGAAATATTTACGATCCATAAAATCCTAGAAATCCACCTGTTTATCGACTTAAAGACCTCGCTGGAGAAGTTATTGAAGGAACATTTTACGAAAAGGAACTGCAAAAAATTTCAGATTCGGGATATTATCCTGTTGAAAAAGTGTTGCGAGAAAGAAAGAGAAATGGTGTGACGGAATACTATTTGAAATTCTTAGGTTATCCACCAAAATTTAATGCATGGGTGAGCTCGCTGTGAAAAGAATATAGAAACTCCACATCGTGTAAAGAATCGCCATTTGCCAAGATGTCTTTCTATATGACGTTACCTAGTGATAGCTCTCAACATTATTTTCCAGAAAATACTATCTCTCATTTCATTACTCAGTTGCCTGTACCCATATCTTTGAACGGAGAATGGGAAGTTGGTCTTTCTGAGATCATTTACCCGCACACCTGGTACAATATTAACAAAGATAACAATCTCTTTGGCTTTGATTTGGGTGACTCTTCAGGTGTAAGGGAAGTTGCCAATAGAAAAATACTTCCAGGATGTTACGAAAGTGTCCCAGATCTCTTAAAAGCCATGACTTTAGCATCATTTAAAGATAAAAATCTCTTTACAGTATGATCGTTCAACAAAAAGAGTGAAAATTGTGCACGCAAAATGGAGCTCGGTTAATCTTTTATGATTCGGGATTGGCAAGTTTATTAGGCTTCGAACCGCAGATTGTCGAAGGTACTTGGAATAGTCCATATGTGGGTGATCTGCATTATTCTGCTTATACATTACTTTATGTGTATAGTGATATCGTTTCGCCTCAGATTGTTGGTAATGTGCAAGCTCCCCTCTTAAGAGTCGTGACAGTTACCGGAAAAGATGGTGATACCGTAAATGTACAATACGACAGACCGCATTATGTACCAGTAGCAAGAAATTCATTTAATACAATCGAAGTGGAAATCCGACTCAATTCGGGTACATTCGTTCCTTTTGAGAGAGGTAAGTTAATTCTTGTGCTTCATTTCCGAAGACGACAAATCCTATAAATATGACAACAGAAGAGGAAAAGTTTTATTTGTAAAAAAGACATCAAGATGCTCGTACCATACGAATGTTGTACTCAAAATTATGATTATCAAACCGGCTCGGGACTTTCTTATTATCAAGGCCAACCCTATCAAAAGGGCTATGGTCTCGGGGGATTTTTTCGCAGTCTATTTCGCACTGCTATGCCTTTGTTTGTCGTATCCCCGGAGATTATGAAGGACCACAGGGATATAGTTGCCATGCTTAAAATTCAGATTGCAACTGTTATGAGCAGCTCCTCGATACTGACCTGTAAGATGATTATGATCACGGACCTAAAACAGAAGAAAGAAAGTATCAGAAAGAAAGTAAGAATCACATCGTAGTTTATGTTATAGTTATTGATAACAAAAATAATCCAAAAAATTTACCTTATCACCTTTCAGAGATTGTCCACAAATATGACAATGAGTGGCTGTTTCATACATAGCTTGGTCTTCTTTGGTGAAGATCATTGGTTCATTTGTTTTCAGTAGTTCTGTTAGATTCTCTTCCTCACGAATAAGAGCAGCTAAGAGGTGATCGACTGCATCTCTTCCTCGGTAGATAACTGGAGCTTTATAAAATTCACCATTCGGTCCAATAATAGTATAACAATATCCGGATGCTATATGGTTGGCAACAGGAGTAGTTGAAGACCTTGATGGATCCGGCAAACAGGTGGCTAGCTTCACTAAAATGCATTCAAAGTCGGCGTAAATAACGTAAGGTACTGGAAGCTGAAACTGCGACTTGTCAAATTTCAACCACTTGTCTTTAGGCATTTTAATTTTTGGGGGACCATGTACTTGACAGTCTTTTACACGAGCATCTAGGGTCTCCTTTTTGAACCTGTGTAAGCAATAGTCACAATAAAATGTAGCATGTTCGACTTTCGTGAGGCCCGCAAGAAGACGAGACATAATGAGATAATAATGAGACAATAATGTCTCTTTTCCTCATCGGAAATGAGCAGCAGATTGATATGGCGGTCACCTGCAAAAGAGAAAAATATCTGTTAAAAAGGTTATAAAATAAGGATAAATTACCGTTTCTACTCTTCGTGATTCGAAGAGGCAAAATTTCATTGTTTTCCCAACCAAACACGTTGATCGACAGGTTGTTCATTTTCTCGAACTTGACTAGCTGGTGAATGGGGGTAGGAAAAGACAAGCCATCCACGTTTATTTCATTTTCATAGGTTTTGTAATGGCCTACTCTGTACGCATGTTCTCCATGACCTTCAACGGGATGAAGGGCCGCCAGGACGCTCCAGACGAGACATTTGTGGTCTTCGTTTTGGATATTGAGAACCGCCATTTTACTGCCTAAGGCTTTTGGCAGAGGTATGTAAGAAGAGGCTGCCAGGGGCTTGTAGACAGCGGTCTTGAGCTCGAGGTATTGCACGGAGTCTAAAACCCATCCTGAACCTTTTCTTATAAACTTTTCTAGAGACTCCAGCACCTATAAAAATAAAATGTTTCATGAGTGACACTAATTCTTATGTTGTACACTGTATATATAATTCATATAAAATAAATTTCCTTACCTTCTCAATAGCTGTTTGCATGTCGGGCATTTCTCCCGTGAGCGTAGTGCTGCATCTGGACCGAAAGTAAGGGGTGCATGTCTCCTCCTCGGTCTCTGAGACTTTTCTGACCATCTTTACACAAGCATTCAAGTACCATTTGATACCTTGGTGCTGTGCGGCAGCTTGTTCAATCTTACCTGCGACTTTGGTTCTTGAAAATTCTAAAAATACTTGTAAGTCATTCTTGGTGTCATCACTGGGATAAATGATTTCCGTAGCAAACGTACCAAGACAGGGTGGGCGTTCTTGTCGTGGTCGTTTAGAAGCAGGCGTGGTGGGGGAGGAGCTGATCGTTTCACTGCGTGAGATGGTCCAGGTTTCGGTGATTTAGCATGAAACTTCATATGATTATCTAGTTTATCGGATCGTCGGAAGATCTTTTTGCATATGGAGCAAATGTATTTACCTGCCGAATGTTGCACGTTAATATGCCTTATTAAATTCCTCCGTTGTGTAAAGGTTTTATTACACTCCGAGCAAGTTAAATTTGGATTATCCACAAAAGGCAAATCCAACTGGGATGATGTAAGATCACCAAAATCCATAATAGCAATGGTTTGATCGTCCAAAGGCATGTCTTCATGTTCGAAAACATATTCAGGATCCATCTAAAAATATAAGAGGACAAAAATAAGTATTATAACTCAAAAATTTTCAAACATACAAGTTTTGAAAAAGAAAAATACTTACGTTGGCTTGTGTCTGAGAAGCCTCGTGATTTAAAAGCATAGCCTCAGATGTATGTTCCATCTGAAAAAATAAAGAAAAAAATCAATTGTTCATGAAAAAATATTAAACAAGTCCAGGAAAGTTAAAATATTAAAATAAACCTACTTACAATAGTAATATGGAAACAAACTCATTTAAAAATATATTGCAGCGTTAAACAGAAAGAGTGCAAAGGGCAAATCATCAGTCTAATAAATGCGATAATATTTACATGGAAACACGAAATAGCGTTAATTTAATTAAAAGAATTACAATAGGAAAGAGAAAGCATACTAAAGATAATTAAGACACAATAACACGCCGAATAAATACTAATTCATAAGTCAAACAACAAAAATCAGCGTTATTTTTACAAAATTTTCACAGAAATTTTTGTAAAAATAGCGCTGATTTTTGTTGTTTGACTTCTGAATTAATACTAAAGATAATTTAAAGAATGCGATTAATATTTACATCAAAATGCGAAGTATCGTTAATTTAACGAAGAAAATTTACATTAGGTATCATATTTCAATAAATGTAATCTATAAATAATAGCGAAAAAATATAGAATAAAATTAATATAAAAGAGGTTTCGAAAATGAATGATTTACATTAAAACGCAACGTCAACAAATAGTCCTTAGGAAAATTTTCAAACAAAAATAAAGAAGAAATTATAAAACCATGCATGAAATAAACAATATTTTATAGACAAGTAAGTATTAATTATCTAAAAAAAATAAATACTAACAGATATTGAAAATAAATAAATATTAACATCTAATAAGCTATTGAAAATAAATAAATATTAACATCTAATAAAAACAAACTAAATATTAACATAGAATCTATAAATACAAACACGATCTATGATAAAATACATACCTCGAATAACACGACTGGATTCAAACATGCAGGGGCGAAAGCAGGAGCGAAGCATACAGGAAATGATGAAAAAGGGTCCAGCGTCTCTTTATATCAGCCTTGGTCAGGATCCACGAGAACCAGTGAGAAAGCGCTATGGGTAAGACTACTGCCCTCTAGCGGTCGTTGCTGAACTAAATAGAATGTTCTAGAAATTCTAACATGTTGCAATCAGGTTGCGGATTTGCGTCAACAGATAAGCGCGGACATGAAAACATAAACAGGACGAAACATGCGACTGGCGTAGCAAGATAATCCGAGGTGATAATGCGTGATGACGTCACGAACAAGAAGCAGTGTGTCCGTGCTTGAGCCACGTGGTTGATGACGTAGCAACCTCGCGTGCTCAATTCCCCCCCTCTGCGCCTCAGGAGGTTCCGCCCATCGGCTCCCCGCTCCCTGTGGCCCCAAACCGGCCTATTATACCTACTCGTCCCGATAGATTTGGCTTGTCATGGTTCCAATTTGAACATGCAGGTCAGTTCTGGAACCCAGAATAGTTCCACCCCAAACGAGCACTCCTACACCACCGTAACGTTATCGTTCAATGATGTTTTCTTGGAGGTAACGGGTACTTGGAGCTCTCCATATGAAAGTCCAGCGAGAATCAGACTGCAAGCTAAACCTGGACTCGTTGGAAAACGTCACACAAGCCCACTGTTGCGGTGTCCACAATGCATGCTCTCTACTCCAGGCTAACCGCAGGCAACAGTGAGTTGCAGTAAGTGGAACGCATCTGACAGGTCTACGACCATATAGACCAATCTGCCCTAAGCGTCTGAAAATGGTCTGCCTTGAAATTCTCGTACCAGTGGCTGAAGAGAGCTGACGAGACAGATCTGAGGCTGTGCTCCGCCTGTTTCTTTTATCAGTAACTGCTAAATACCGGTCCTCATTCGGCGTTGTAACTCTGGGGCGACCTGTGCTGTAACGTCTACTCACATTACCATCATCTTGGAATCGTTGCCAAAGCCTGGAGATGACACACTCTGGGCAATTCTAAGTTCGTCTGATACTTCCAGTTGGGTACGCCCACATTCCAGACGGCCGATAATTCTACCTCGTAAAAATCATCCAAATGCGTCCTTTGTGTCATAACTATTCGGTTATTGCACTGAAATGCTTATAAAGCGCCTGCGAGCAATTTTACTTCTTTGCCTGTATTCCTTATACATCACTCTCTTACACTCTCGTCATTGTGACGTACCATCGGTGTCATCTGGTTACTTCCAGAAATTTGCATATGATTCTTGAAGATGTGTGTAGTGATTTTACAGGTGATATATTTATTTTAGAGTTCGATTTCCGCGTGACGCCGAATTATCCTTAATTTATGGACATGAGTGTAATTTTCCTCCTTCCCTTTCTAACCTCTGCAGGATCTAATGTGAGACAAGATAATTTAATTTTTTCTCTTCCGATGTACCTGTTTTATATTAAAATTTTAGCAATTAATTGGATTGAGTTATTTGGACTACGGCAAAGGACACGAGGACTAACTATAGGAAATAATATCTTCGAGGAGGATTTCCTTGAGGAAATTCGCCTTTCTAGGAGGAATTATTCACTTTACACATGGGGTAAACTACGTATTAAAGAGTTGAAAAGAATAAAAATATTTCATTACTGCAAACCGCCCTTTTCTTGAGACAATTAAACTATGAAATTATCTTTCATTTTTAACCCAAGACCCATTTCTGTTTCAGTTTAAAGAAAACACTGAAATTAATTCCGCTTCTAGAATATCAGCGCTGCATTTATTTTATTTATAGGCTACATAGTATGTATACCAGTACACACGTTGTAAGCATTCATCAACATTAATTAAATAGCTTCTTAAATACAAATACACACTATTATTATATCATTTAAAAAAGTGAAACAACAAACTTGTTTTACTCAGTTTGGAAAGAAAAACAAGCGAATAGCATAATTCAGCTTCTGATGGATACCTTGAGTTCAGCTACTTCAATTAAAGCATTAATTTAAAATATTTTCAGAATTCTTTTGCAAAGCAGTTTAACATGAAAAAAAGTATTAAAAAATATTTGAAATTAGGTAAAGTCCTTAAATAAGATGTTGGTTTTATAGAAAAATTCAACATTTTGAAGCAAACTGATACGAAGTCTCTCTTCTTGAAGAACACAAATTTTTGCCAAAATTTTAGCTCTCGGCTGCATTTTATAGCAGATTAAGTTATTATTTGTTTATTTATTGGTTAACCCTTTACTTCCTTCTACGAAATAACGGAAGTATTGTAACCGTGAAAATTTTCAGTATCATATTTCAAAAGAAATATCCATTTCGACCACATAAGGTATTTCCCCCCTCCTTTTTGGTGGCATGCCTTCCTGGTGTAACTAGAAGCAGGCTCGACGTCTAACTGGTAGGCCGAGATTCGAATTCCAGCGACAGCACTGCGAATTTCTTCGATTTCCAGCTTCGAAAAAATTCTGCAAGGCTCTACAGTGGCACCAGAATTGAAAAAATGGTGGACAACAATTCGTCACCAGCAAGTTTTGGCGATTGGGTTCATAATCTCCAGTCGCTCTTTAAAAAAGATATTTTCTCGCTCTTCTCCTCTCTTCTGCGAGGAAGCTGCGGATTTCATCGATTTCTTGCTTCGAAAAAATAACTATGCAACCATTTCCGAATCCATTTGGACGATTTTGTTGCATGACGACTGTGCGTACTATAACATACAGAACATTTTTTCCAAAAACAGATTATAAAGTGGATTTAAAATGGATTCGAAAGATATTTTTTCGTGATATCTGTTGCCTTCATATGTATCTCGCATAACCGTAGACTATTAAAATTGTGTATATGGGACTAATACACACAATTTATCAGAAAAAATCATTCAGGAATAATTTGTCTAAGCACAGGATATCTTCTTTTCCTAATAAGTAATAATTTGAGAATTCACAACGGTAAAACGACTTTTTGTTTGTTTAGGATTATTTTTAATAAAGAATTATTTGCTAAGAGTTAAATCAAAGGATGTAGTTTAAAAGAATAAATTATTTTACTACTAATCCGCAAGAGGGTTCTTTAACTTACTGCTATCGGGTGTCTTGAACTCAATTCATGGATATTTACGACTATCCCCTTAAAACAATTTTTATTTACTGAGTTTTCTTTTATGCAATGATTCGGAGAGGCTTACGTTGACCGACATCAATAATTCATTGTCTTTTATAGCTTTTCGGAAATGAACTTAGACAACCGCTTTTGAAATTCTGGGATAGGCACTTTATGCTTCAAGGTCAACAAAGTACTGAAAAATTTCATTATTGTCTGTGCTTACCTGTTCAGAAGGACCTTAAAGTGCATTTATTTTTTAAAAAGTCTGGTGTTGGGAGAATATGCAAACGGTCATCTGTGACAGTGAAAAGTACTTAATCTTCTCAGGTAACCAAGTTTTTATAATGGAAGAGCTTTCGAAAGGTACCACGTTCTTAATGGCTTCCTTTGATATTGAAAGATTTAGGAATAGAAATAAAATAAAACTGTCTGGTAGACTTTTATTTTCAAGCCTTTTTATTGCTTTTTCAACAATGAATCTTTAATCCTTGTCTGGAATGTGAGTGGTATAAAGGTGAGTAAAATTATTAGCTTTGCACAGCTAAAAGCTTAATGAGAAGAATTTGCCAAAACTTCAGTTAAACTTCCAGTCATTAGAATTGCATTCGCATAATTAAATGAAATTTTTAAGTGTAAAATGAAATCTAATATGTTTCAATTTATAAAAGGGAAAAAAAATAAAGAAAATCTGAAAGCTATCAGATTTTATACTCTGCTCAAAATGGTGTTTTTTAACGTTATATGGTGTTACCTTTATTTATTAAACGTCATGCCCTTCGCACCTAAAACACATTAAATTCATTTCAACGGTATTCGAAGTTATATACCATCACACTAAGAAATTCATAACATTCCTGTGATTGTATATATGATAATTTTAA